TCCGAACAAATACCGGGACTCCAAATTTTTGGGTTGAGCGGAGGAAGAATCCGCGTTGAAGTCCAATTAAATCGATTATATAGAAAGAATTGAGACAACGCGTATAGTGAGTTAACAATGATCCCACATTAATTAAGTAACTAGGTTTATTCAGCTGCTATATATAAATGCGTAATGGGGAAAGAATTAGAGAAAGACTTCCCAATTCTATACGGAGTACTCCGTACTCCGTACAAGGTTATATTTTCATAGTGCCACCGTGTTCTATTGATCACTTCGTACGGTAGACACTAATGTATTGCAACATCACTACTGCAACATGTTTTGCATAGCGCCAATACGCTTTGCACCCCTGAACCGATTCGCGTTAGGTGCTCAAGTGAGACATGGCTATACTTAGACAAGCCGCTCAGTGATCTGCGAATAGAGAGTCCAGCACGAGACCCGGCCGTTTATTGCAATGTACAAGGATCCAGTAGATTTCTCCTTGCTCGTGCAGCTTATCCGTTCGGTTAATCTTACCGAGGCCGCTCTTTTACGCGTTTCGTTTTTCTTTTTCTTTTTTCTTTTCGCTTTTTCCTTTGTTTTCTTGCGGGATCGGAGATTTTTCCCTCCGATCGCAAGGTTTGGGCCTTCAGGGTCTCTTCGGCTACTATGTTCCTGCTCGATGTTGCATGACAATTTAACTGAGTGGATTGGGCGAGGGATTCATAAATAATACTCCGTACTTGATAGAATAGAACCTTCGGCAGTTTCATGTAATACCTCCTGTATAACTACCTATGTAGCTAACTAGTTAACTATGTAGTTATCCATGGATCCATTCCTATGTAGATAGGCTTTCCATATACTCCGTACAACGTGAGAGCTCAAACCCAACGTCATTGAAAATGGAGTAGCCTCTAACAATCAAAATACATAGTGTAGTGACCTCTAGTTAGATCAATAGCATCCACACGAAATGAAAAAAGATCTTCAACTAACGTAGGAGCCCGGGCTCATAAGTGCCTCTGACTATCAGCCGCGCCCTGAAGGTGTTCTTGGCAATCTACCTGCGCTAGACCCTGATCTCCGTGCCCGACGGCCAAAGCGGTATTTCACTTTGACGATCATCGGCTTTGACATTTGAATTTCCGAGTCGCTTGTTTTGTACTGCATGATAGTACAACATACTCCGTATAGCGCTGGAGCGTACTACCCACTTCAAGGGCTGAAATGTACATGAGTTCGGGTGCAGGATGCATACATAAACTCACCGGGCAAACTCTATTCTGTTGTATACTCCGTGCCATTGTTGATCTTCTGGCGCCATACGGAGTACCTACAATGTATGCCTAGAGGCTGTGTACTATCTCCGAGGAACCAACGGGGCACACGGAAAGTCAATTATATTGCAAGCAGTGGCATGTGAATCTACTGGGGAAAAGACATATGAGAATGCTTCTTTGTCTAATTTCAATATCCCCTGTTTCAACTTGAGTGACGCTTCAATTGCTTTTCCTTTTTGAATTACTATCCCTCTATAAATGCCGAGCCTCGATAACGAATAATATGACCTACATTTTATGACATACCCGCCGTGTCGGGAACCGCTCGCGCTAGCTCGTAAGCGATAATGTATGTTTCAGTCGACTTCACCCGGCTTATCTGAGATCATGCATCGGTTAATTAGGGGGGCTTCCATGTGCTTGTATTGGGTTTATGTTGTATACTCCGTACCTAGGTACTAACTGGTGGCCTGTGAGGAAGCTTGTAACATGTGATGTCTCGGTTGACGGCTTGGCACATACGCTCGACTATTTTTTCCAGGGTCATTAAGACGATATAGATTGAGCCATCTAGGAAGTATGCACGTCCGATTGCTCTTCAAGACCTGGAGCCTTCAGGTTTGCTCCCGACGGAAGAAAAGGGAGCCGCATCTCTATCCAAGGCTGCTTTGGACGAATGGACTTTCCACATGCATCTGCCTGAAGGAATTTCGATAGATCATGTAGCAATGATATACATGAGCATTCGAAAGAATTCAATTCAATGATCAACATATTCTACAAATGGAAACGTCGACAAAATTGCACACAATCATATTTATGATAAATATATATTTTGAAAATATCCTGTACTTGTTCATGACACCTACCATTCAAAGATTACAACTATACATAGCTTCTAGTAATGACAATAGTGTAAAAGATACACGTTAATTGGTTGTACGAGAGGATAATGAGGCTCTCCTCTGTTGCTCTGTATGCAACCAGATACCTGGATTTGCGGCGAGAAGGACCCGAAACCACCAAGGCTAGCCGAGCGAGTTGGCATCAACGGTGTAAGGATGTCGAGCGAGCGAACGGGAAACTATAAGAGACAAGCAATTGGTTCCACTGGATAGATGCTGGATCACCCCGCTACTAGTCTCTAAACTTAGAATGACTATGACCATGGAAAAGAACTGGACCTAGTTCTTCATATTGGAAAAGCTATGGAAACAGTTTGTGATCAGCGGAAGCATTGGCACATCCATCCATGTAAACGATAATCTTGTGAAGACTAGCTTCGGACGTACAAGGAGAATCGGAAGGACCAAACAGATATCCACGGGAGAACAGACACCTCGACCTATCTAAACCTACATAACTTACCATGCAAGATACGAAGAATTCGAGGGCCACTTAAGAACACGGAAACCGATCACATTACTACTCCAAATAGACCCATGGGTATTGCAAAAAAGGCATTGATTCATTTTTGCTGACTAGCATTTTTCCAACGAAACACGGTTAACAAAGAAACATCAGAGGGGTAAAGAACGACCCGCTTAGTTCTCGTAGAGAGTGTTCATGAAAGACTCGGCAGGAGCAGTAGGCTTGCCGTGCTCGACGGACTGCTGGCCAAGCTTCTGCTTGGAGTAGGCAGCGGCGTAGGGGTTGAGGCGGAGCATGACCTGCTTGTTGCGGAGGGGGTTCTTCTTCTGGACGTTGACACGCTTGGTGCGAGCCTCACCCTTGGGAGCCTTGAGGACGGACTGGATTTCGGAGGAGTTGATGAGGCGGGTCAGATCAGCGTTGGCCACAACGTTGGAAGGCAGGAGGTAATCCCGCTTGAGAGCCGAGGGGCTGGTAGTGGTGCCGTAGACCTGGTCGAGAGCCTGGAAGGCGGAGGAGGTCCAGATGACGAAGCGACCGAGGTGGCCACCGGGGGCGAGCTGGAGGAGGTTGAGGGAGAAGACGGGCGAGGTCTCGACACCGGGGATGTTGCGGAAGGCCTTGACGAGGTCCTTGCCATCGGTCTCGGGGTTGTAGACAACCAAGGGTCCGCGGCGCTGGCGGAAGCGGCGGTTACGGAGCTTACCCTTACCGGCGCGCATCTTGCGGGACTTCTGGACCTTGACGAGATCGGGTCCGGCACCGACAGCCTGGAGGAGGGCGATGGCAGCCTTGGTCTTGTTCAGGGAGTTGACGGCCTTGGAGTCAACGACGAGGGGAACCTCGGGGACGTTGGCGACACGGTGACCGCGGGCGAAGAGCAGAGCGGGGGAGGCAGAAGCAGCCAGAGCGGAGGCGGTAGCGAAACGACTGTGGGCGCGAGATTATTAGTTCCTCCGCATTCTCTAGGCGTTCAAATCGTTCAATGGGATTCCACATACCGCTGGCCAACGTTGACCTTCTGGTGCCACTTGCGCCAGACCTTGGTAGGGGCGAACATGCGACCGGAACGGCACTGGTTACCGAAGGCGGCCTGGCCAGCACGGTGAGTACCACCACCGGAGACACGGGGGATACGGGCGACAGCACGACCTATTTAATAGGAAGCGATCTGGTTAGTTATTGTTCTCCATGGAGAAGAATCCAATGATCGCAAATTTTTTCGCAAATTCGGATCCAATTCTTCCAATCTCGAAAAAGGTGCCAAATAACGTACCGGTACCCCAGGACTCAGCGGAGGTCTGTTCACCAGCCTTCTCGCTCACGGCGTAGGGCTGGCGCTTGTTCTTGGCCATACCAGTGTGAACTGACCTGTAGAGCAACGGTCAGCACTTCCCCTCCATCGATTTTATGAATCCTTCAAGTTTTTGGCGAGCCATACTGAACAATATCCGGGCGGATAGGAGCAGAGAACACAGTGGGAAGAGGGTGGGAGGCCCCGGAGGGCTTGCCCTCAGCCGTGGCGATCGAGACAGTCGGGCGGGAGGCCATTGTTGCTGGTCGGTGTCGAGGTGAGGTTGAAGATCCAATCTCTCTGAGTCGGGGGGCTTCACAACTGGGTGTGGATTTTTTCGCTTAGTGAGAAACTGCAGTGGGGCAGCGAACCCTAAGCCCTTCTTGCCATATGTGGACTAGCGTAAACATGCAACAATTAGCTAATACTATGAGCTGTCACGTGGGGCCCACAAGTGGGATCTCAACATCTGGCAGGTGCGATGCTAAACATTGAAGTCATCGAGCAACGGTCCTGAGGTCATTGGAAGCGACATCACGTTTGTCCCTGATTTGATTTGCCCAAACCCTGAGGGCACAAAATTACTGGAGGAGATGTGGACTGTCCATTTCTGCAGTTCGCTTAGGTACATACTACATATACCTGCGGGATCCTCCATCTGGGAGAGAAGAAAGTCATCGAGAGCCATCTAGTTGATCAATGGTCATTCCCACGGCCGAAGACTGACTTCCTCTGTCACCACACTTCCCAAATGGGCATTGACGATTAACAGCAGCACTAATGTCTACAACTACTGACAGTACAACTTCTAGACTACGAACACTTCAACGTTGCGCCGAGCAGTATACAAAAAGCTTATCTTTCTCGAAAACCATGAGATCTTATTTTCCTAGTCTCGTCTCCTAAATGTACAGGAAGAAAGGGACATATAATGCACCGAAAGTAAAAGGACCGGCCCAGCGGAAAAGAAAGATCAATAAGAAGAGAAGAGAAAAGAATCAAAAAGCCATCCAATGACGGGAGAAGTTTACAACATCCGGAGCCAGCGGATCACATTGCGTATCTAACTAAGCGTGGGCGTGGTGACCGAAGGCGCGGTTGCGGAAGCGCATGCTTGAGACATGACGCGCCTTCATAGTGGCACTGATAGCAAGCTCCTCGCTCACACCAGCATTGCATTGAGTGCCGGCCGGCATCGGCTGGGCAGCGGACCAGGTGCCAGAAGCACAGCGCTGGAAGGCGGTGCCTGAAATGCAGTTCCACTGGCCCTCGGGGCTGCAGCTACCCGTCACGGCACCGGAGACAGAGCCGGAGGCAGATCCAGATTCAGAGCCGGAGGATGAAGAGGTTGTCGCGGGAGCTGGGACAGGTGCTGGGGAGGACACGGGTTCGGGCTCGGCGGGGATGCTCGACGGAGTAGATTCTGGGACCGGGGCTGCGGTGGGGGCGCTCTCTGCCGGGGGAGAGGGTGAGCCGGAGGATGAGCCAGAGGATGAGCCAGAGCTAGAGCCCGAGGGAGAACCCGAGGATGAGCCAGAGCTAGAGCCCGAGGAGCCGGTAACACCGGAGCCACCGAAGGTAGGGGTACCGGTGCAAGCCTCGGAACCCTCGGCGGCGAGGTTGCCGGGTTGACCCTTATACTCGACATTGTCACCTGGCTGAGGGAAGCGGATATCAACACTTTCTTTGGTGGTGCAGCCATTGACGTTTGCGACAAACATGGGCGGGAAGCTAGAAGAGCGTCTCTCGAGTTCCTCGGAGCGCTTGGAGGAGCCACCCGAGACAGTGATGGGGGCGCAGTTCATGTACATCTCACGGTTGCCGATGCGGTTGAACCAGGTCCAGGCGAGGGTGTATTTGCCAGCAGCGATGCCCTCAGGAATTTTGAAGTCGAAAGTGTAGGGATCGGGGGCGTCGGGGCCGCCGGACATGTTGCCGTCGACATTGGCAGGGCAGCCACCCTCGAAGGACTTAATGACCTTCCACTCGGAAGACTTGGAGGGCTTCAGGTCGGTGGTCAGACTGATCTGGCAGGAACCGCCGCCGTGGGTGGCGCTACCGACGAAGGTCAGAGGGTGGGACTCGCCGACAGCGATGATTGTCTCGGTCTCGGGGGCCTCGAAAGCGTTGTCGCGAAGCTTGCATGGGAAGTCACTGCCGTCTGCTGCCAGAGGCGAGTTGTTGAGAGTGTCCTTGCTGTAAGGGGTGGGGCTGCTCATGATCATGTGGGCGTTGACCATGGAGGCGCCCATCAGGGCAGCGATCACTTTGGAGGTGATGAACATCTTGGATGATCGAACTTTTGGGGTTGAGGTCTGGTTTAACAGATAAATGTTGCAGATGGAATCGATTCGTGCCAGACGAATGGAATCAGATATCAAAAGGAATGGATCTTGAAGTGGAATGTTAGCGTGGGATGAGAGACTTGGAAATGCGAGAGACAAGATCATGGGTTCAGGAGTATATATATCGATGTTGTCTCATTGATGGGTCTATTGTCGGCAAGGCATATAGATGTAATCATTCAACAATAGATCAGAAGTGTATAGATCGGAGGCAACATGGAACAAAGGCAGAAACCAGAAACCACAATACCTTTGTGTATCAGAGTGAATGAAGCAAACTGATTCAAATTTGTCGGGAAGCTATTTCCAATCTCTTTGTTGATGAACAATGGCGACAGCCGCTTTGTTTTATTTTCGTCTCAAAGATGACAGGGCTTCAGAAAAGGAATGTATGATATTTCGCCACAGGCAAAAATCAAGATGCAAGGAAAGGAAAGTGACACAGGTCTAGCCTGACTGTCGAATTGATAGAAGCAAGAAGAGAAGAGAAGGGACTGTACTGAGTGAAAAAAAGGAAGCCATGCAACGTTGGTCTCAGGGTTTATATATACAGACATGGGGTGACTCTCGGGCCCTTCAAACATCTCGAAAATCCCAAATCTCAGCCTCTAAATGGTCCGATGCTACGTGCATGGCAATTAATCAGACACACTTGGTGTGATCTCCGAAAGTCTAGAGAGAGATCTGCTTGGTTGATCGGTGTGTTCCGTACATCCACACCCTAATAGGGTGGGGAAGGCCAAGGACAAGAGGGGATGTTTCAGAACTCCTGTTTATTCTATTTTAGCCAGTGAAGTTCGGATGGTTAGACGGTGAAAAGCTGAAAATCAGTCAAAAACCAAGAGGTGACCAGTAGGAAGACCCGAGAGGCACCTCGCAGATACCCGCTGGACTAAGGCGATGGGCGGCTGGAGAAGAGCCAACCACCGCACAGACTGCAAGGTACAAGACTCCCACCCCCTGGATTTGTCGCACCATTAACCGCTGGCAACACACACTTCTTGTGGATTGGCTGTCATTGTGCTGGATTTTCTTCTCGCTTCCAAGGTTGCCTATAATGCCCACAGCGGTGTTTCATGTTCACCTCCGTACTACCTACTCCGTAGTGTTCTTAACCCTTGCGACTTGTCCTATGATGCAGTGAAACAAATGGAACCTAAGTGGACATCCTCTGTTCCTCTGTTCAGCCTTCTAATCTATCTAACACCGGCATTTGTGTGTGGGGTACAGAAGTGTCCCCCCTTACTAAGGTGTGAGCGTTATTAGATGCTTCGTGTGACATCTCCAAATGGAATGTGTCAATCTTGGTTTTCAATATGTTTTTACAACATAGAGCTGTCAAGCGATACTAATTTCACAAGCCTGGTTCAGGATCATCTCGGTTACAACACAGCTCCACCAAATGTACTTGGCGGATGTCAACTCCGCTAGAAGCAATATGGAAGCCACTATGGAGTACAGAGAACAAAGTCCATTGTCTTGTTACTTGTTACCTAAAAGAAATATCTACATCCCCAAGCCTTAAATGAAAATCACTGGGATAGCACTCCCTGTAATTTCGAACAGACCACGATACTCGGCCTAGCCTAGAACGAGGATAGGGACCTGAGTTCGCCATCTCGAAAGTGAATGACAGGTTCGATCGAGGTTCGTCTCTGGCGTTGCTGTGACTCGTTGTCTCGTCATCTACGGAGTACCACGGTAGCATCTGGTGGGTTCAGGTCGCCTTGGTATGGCAACTATATATATTGACCTAGTATATTGTAAACCCCCTATGAACGCCATTCTTCTAATGTTGCTCCTTAATTGTTGACGGTAATTAAACCTCTGTTCTACCGTCAAATCATGGATCTATGGTGTAGGGCTGGGTTAATCCCGCACCCTTAGATTGCCGTACTTTCCGCTCTTTGTCCGTGCATGTTCTATTTCGATCTAAGCGCTTACTGTGGGTATATCCTTAGAACTAGACATGAAGACCTGCAGCAACAATTCGCATGATGATTCGCATGAGAGCGGCCATCTAGCGCACGTGGTTCCGCCTTCTACATACGTCGGTGACTCCTCGAGACCTCATGTTCTATACAATTGAGATAAAATGAGACCTTGGAAGTCATCGTAGTCGCAACTTAGCCTAACAAATAAACTTGGCAGGTACTCTAGCAGAAAGACACCCAGGTCCACTATCAGATGCAACTATAGATCTAAAGCAATGCTGGTTTATACGATCAGTGAGTTGCGCCTGTTTGCAGGAAACTACATCTAGTATATGGTTAGTGCCTGATCTGGGCTTGTTGATACAAGCTTGGGTTTTTACAGCATCTACTATCAACTCTTTTTATTCAGGACGTTCAATGTACTCCGTGCAACATACATTTACCGAAGCAACGATTTTCTGTCGCTTGTGGCAGTTAGGAAGTTGCCTACTTGGAGGGTGTGCTATAGACATGTCACATTGACCAAGTCGTGAGCGCCAAAGCAGACTCGGCAGCCCTGCATGTGAGCTGTCAATCTGCCCAATGATGTCGCCGTGGCTTCTAGCTCGCAGACTCGATTCAAGTGAGGATTTCTTTGTGTTCGCGTGAGGTCGAGGCATTGCCTGTCGGTGGACAGCGTCGTATGATGGGCCATGCACCATTTTCTCACTGCGATTAATTTCAGGCACTTTCCAAGGAGGGAAGTTGTATCCACAGTTTCAGTGCGATTGATGCCTTCTCGAGGTTGCATCAAGCACCCTGGTCATATAGACATGCGTGTTTCATCTTATCCTCGGGTCAGAATTCCCCATTGGAAGGTTCCAAGGTCCCAGGGATCCCCGGCATCCATGGAATAATCAGGGTGTATCACCAGTCCCTCATTTCTTGCCCTTCTTCTTCCCTTTCTCTGCCTCCTCCTTCTCCTTAGTAAACCCACCCTTAACCAAAGCATCACGACCAACATCATTAATGAGCCGGAACCGCGCCGGACCAAGTTGAATGCCCCCATACCACCGCGTAACAACAACCACAACATTCCACACATCCATCAACTGCATAACATGCAGCAACCGGCCCCCAGCAGCAGTCTCCCCATCATCGTCATAATCCTGAACAACAGTCTCACCCTCCCCATCCGCACCCTTCCTTTGCCGAATGCGCCAAGCACTAATATTATGCGTTGCTGCCGCAACCTTCCGATCCGTAGCCGTAAGATGATCAAGAAAAGCCTGCGCCTGCGCTAGACAAGTGACACGGGCAACACGGCCCACGAATACTGATTTCTTCTCAGACACAACGTCCGAGAGGATCCATTCGGGCGGGGCATCGAGGCCGAAGGCGTCGCGCAGAGACAGAGCTTCAAAGGCCTCTGTGGCTGTCGACGCGGCGACAGTTGGTGTTTGAGTAGACGAGTCCTCGATATCGTCCTGCCCGATACTCAATTCCGGGAATACATCGACGGCTTCGCTGATCACATCGAACAGACACACGGCGCCGGCCTGCCAGGTCCGCTGTACGATATCCTCCAGTACACCGATGGCGATCTTGCCTTCCCCGCGTGCGGCGGTCGATGCTGTTCCCAGTACGGCGGGTCGGGAGTCTGGGTATGAGGCTTGGAAGCCGAGGATGAAGGATAGGTGTTGTTGTTCTGGGATTTGGAGGGTGACCACTGTGGTATAGATGTTGTTATTGGAGTGCGCGAGACTCCCGAGGTCAAGTGTGTTGTTGGTTGTCGCGTTTGCGGGGGTCGTGCGGGTTACGGTTACTGTGTCGGGATCGTAGATGGCGTTTACGGCTTCGATTTCTTCGGCGAGGTCTTGATTCTCAGGGATCAGAGGCATTGTGCTTGCAGAGCTTGGAGCTCCTGCGGGGTGAGGGTTTAATTATTTGTGAGTCTCCGGGTTGACCCCACAGTTTATTCAGGCATCCAGGTATCCAGGCGCCTGTTTTGATGTCGACGGAGAATTTTGACAACTACGGGTTTTATAATGGGTATAAATTATATATGTAAAGATTTAAATAATAGGATTGGATTTCCTTGATCTGTATACAGTATTCTGAGGGGTGTGATGCAAGTTGAGCTTCAGAACAACATCTTTTTGTTCTCGTCAGTCGCTTCATATCGGCTGCCAGTGGAGAGGCGACGAACTGGGCCTCATCCTCACAAGGCTCAAGATCTTCTTCGGACTGGGTGTCAGTATCGAGCAAACCTTCATGGTTCGGAGTTCAAACCGCACGGATTGGCGTGTAATGTCTGCTGCCCACTTCACGACGTGTTGTGCTCAGAGGTGTATTTGATGGTGACTGAATGATACAGTCATAGGCATGGTCGTAAATCTCCCACGACAGCGTAATTTCTCCCCAGAATTCACAAAAGCCTCTAGGAAGGAGCGTTATTCAATATATTCTATGATACGTAAGTCAGGGTGACAGAGGAAAGTGAGCCAAGTGGAAAACACAGAACATACCCAGATCCGAAAAACAATAGCGCAACAACACATTGGATTGTATGCATGTGGTTCTAAACCCCATACCACATCGTGTAGTCATGAAACATGCCAACCATCACTCTCTGACCTGCGGTGAAGCAGGTACATTGAACGAAAATGTCTTTTGTATGCGACTGAGACAGCCACGAAATTGGGGTCATACCAAATCCCTAAGCATGTGGCTTTTCGATAAATTGCTGTGAAAGCCTAGACTAATACCGGGATACACAAGCTCCTCGCCGAAATGGTACGCGAAAGCGGACCAAAACACGAATCCCATTCATGGATATTCCCAAACGATGACTAATCTCGCTCGTCGATGCGGTCCTTCCCAACACCATTTTGGGAAGTCTATGCGCCAAACGTTTCAGCATAGCAGAATACTGACACAAGCCTTATGGAAAGAGGTAAGTATTTCTCGAATGGGTGGCTCCGATGATGATTGGACTGATGGCGGTGGTTAAGATGAGAAAATAAGATGGAAGAAGGTGATATTGGGTCGTGGGTGGATGGCACAATGGGGCCAGCCACCAACCAGGACCTGGCGTACTGGACACCCAGTAGTGGTCTGAACGTGGCCATAATTGTTCAGAGGAAATTACCCAAAGGGACCCTTTGGGACCTCACAACAAGGACATGCTACCACCTGTAGCAGGAAAGCTAGGATGGATGTTCTGTGGAAGGAAGGCTTTTTAACCTAAGGTATCACCGTGATAGGACTGAATATCGTTGCGCGATTCGAACGATCTCGCTGGGCTTGGTTGCAAACCACGTATTGCTGGCTGGAACTAGGTGTTGGGTACATATGTAAACATGGCGTCGGGCGCGAATGCTGGAAAAAAGGGTCATGACATGACATCAGCTCCCCCGCGCAATAGGAACACGTGGGACAACCATGGTATTTTCCATGTGAAGGTCTACCCAATATGGAAGAAGCAAGTGAGCTAGTAGAGAAGCCCAGTGTATATGTCGTAGTTCGTACGAAGACTGAGAGTACCCGAAGATGACATCGTTAAGTTCAGTGTTGAGTATGTCGCAAGGTTTTTGCGACCAATCTCATAGTGTGAAGTTGCAAAGAGCAACAATGAGAAAGGGGAGAGTCGACCTCAGCTATCATGCTTTTGGGAGGTCACAGGACGTATGTTGGGGGAGGATTGGTGGATTAACACGAGACAAGAAGAGTCAGTGTCTTCACGCGGAGAATTGGAGATGAAAAGTGGTGAAGGGGAGAATGCTTTGACAGTGGGATTTGGGGTCTGAAACATAACAATCTGGGAAGGAGCGAGACTGTGACCGACCTGAGAACAATTGCATACCTAGGTACAGGTGTCGCTCTGGGTTTAGAGCAGTAACATTCATGATTCTGGCGTCCTACAATTTACGATACATAAGAATTAGAAGGCTTGACATGACGATGTCGTTGATTTTTGATACTGGACACTGCAGTACCGCAGGTAAATGTTTAAATACATGAAGCTGGCAATCTCTTCCATAGAAACCAAAAAAAGACCTCCCAAACAGTGGAAGGGGAAGGGTCGACACATGATGTTGATGATCTCCATGAAGGTGAAGTTGACAGTGAGCTGAGATTTGAAGACTCAGCAGGGCTGGCAAGTGTTGACTGAGCGCACATGCCCATGTAGTTTTGTCTGTGTCCAGTATTTCATCGGGGGATCGGCAGATCCTGGCTGGATCTCATTTGTTCGTATGGCATACCCACCATGCCAGTGATGCGTAGTTGCCAGCTTTGAAGTCAATAGATTCTTTCAAAAACCCCTCCGTACATTGCAAATATCCATTCCTCCTCATCCCATGTTCTCCGTGTACTCCCAAGCCTCTCTCATGTCCATTGCATGATAGACCATAGCAAGTTGATTGTATGTCAAGGTGACATCCATCCATTCAATAGTCCCATGACCGTTCAGATATCCGTGCCTGTGGTGCTGGGACGTACGCCTTTTCTGTGTTTTGTGTGGCTGTCCTGGAGCGTGCTCGTCGAATGAGGTTGTAGAAAGTCTTTCTTTTCTCCTCTTTTGTTTCTTTCTTTTTTTCGTAGTTGTCCCACTAAGCCTGCAAGCTTCCCCGGTGGTGAAGAGTATTGTGTATCAAGATGTGGTTTGGATTTTCTATTGTTTGGTCTGTGCCTTGAGCTGAGAAATTGAGAAATGTTAGTTTCATCATTTGATATACAAGGAGGAAAATGTTCTGAAGACATACCGCACTCATGGCGAATGTGCTGTAGTGGACTTGCCATGGACTTGCCATGCAATGACCGTCTCTATGAATGAAAACAAAGACTGTTGATCACAAGTGGCTTGGACAAGACAAGCTCGATGATTCGGTATCCGTTGTTAAGTATGCCGTCCCAGCCCAGTTGGAAATGAACGCTCAGCAGTCGAAGTGGGCAAGTCAAAGTTGTTTGGTGACGTGGACAAAAGTGACAAGTGTTGGATGCTGGATTTGGGTGTTTGTGTGTCTCTTGTCAAGTTGATCTGTTTCGTCAAGAAATGGTGTGGTCTTTGGGATTGGGATTGGATGGGCTGGGCCCAAAGCCGGAAGTGCTGAGATCGTTGGGTGGTCGTTACCATGCCAATGCTGCAATGCCAGGTCCATCTTACTGGATCGCACCTGGGCAGGGAAGCTTAAAGTCAGCTTCTACAAGCCTCAAATTCCGCTTCCCTCAATTCCATTCACTGAAAGGATAGTCCTCTTCGCCAACACACCGCCTATTGGTGCTGGAGAATGAATATGTCCCGAGGTGGTCTCCTCTCAGTTCATCTGGGGGAGGCACGTAGGAACCCCTCGCAGTGCGGTCAGGTGTGCGCATCCTCGTGGTCAGGATAATGCAGCGCTGAGATACCATAGTCAACTCTGTCGCTGTTTCCCCAGTTGAACTAGAAACAGTGCACCCTCTGAGCATACAACACAGCACACCGCCTATTGTGCTGGGAAGCATGGTATCAAAGGATGATGATCCTCACCTTAACTTGGGTGCCCATAAGGACAGTCGATCTAAGCGCCGCGATGGGAAGGCAGTTGGGATCTGGCATGATGGGGCGAGGCATCGTAGCATGGGCATCCCCAAAGTACTCTAACAACACGCCTCGACCCCCATCTCCCTAGTCTAACGACTATTATTATTCTTATTTTGCTTCGATTTGAATAACAGATTGCGCTGGCCGGCAGATGTTACCGCCGGTGAAATCTGCGGCCGTTCTAGAAGCCTATCGCGATCTGCATCACACCCCCGAGGCTGCTTCCATATTGCCGCGAATTCATTCCATTCTGAGTGTCGGGAATTGGGAAGCAATAATTCTCCCGCTTTGGCTATTTGCAGCCGCTAGCCACTTTGGCAGTGCGTTGCCTGCAGATTCGGTATGCCATTAGATCGATACGGCCAGAGCTACATATACATTACCGCCGCCAAATTAGCAGAACAGTGGACAAACCAAAAGAAATTCTTGGAGATAATCACTGGGGAACATACTGTACATGACTTATTTGTCGTTCTGATCTGCAGCTACTATGCGTTATGCCTGCATTGGCTAGCCGCGAATTGGAAGCAGTCTGGTCACTTCCATACGGAGTACGGAGTATTATCTCCTGTATCCTAGACAATGTGTCACGACTATAGGTTGAGTTATATCGATTTCTTAATTATTCCACATATTGTCATCTTGTAACGTAGATTCAGCTTTTAAATCCAGTGTCTCAGTGGTGTAGCCACCTATTGCCACGTCCATACTTCTTCTGGGAACAGGCGCAGTGCCTTTTCTACCTAGTTGTGTTAGCAGGGTTGAACGTGCGTAAGTAGCCTACCGGACCGGGCCCTTCTTTGCTTCAATCCACTCAAGCTCTCCACCTCAACGTAAAAGCTCACGCTACCGCGCCGAAACTGTTTGCTTTCTTCACCCAACATGCAAATGTCGGATTTGCCGAATGAGATTGTGGCATTAATAGCTGAATTCCTTGATGACGAGTATTGCATCAACGCACTTCTCCAGACATGCAGAAAGTTTTCCCTACTGCTCAATCCTTCCCTCTACAAATTCAACGTGCGCTACTCGCACGCCTGTGCTCTCGAATGGGCCGCGAAAAATGGCTACGAAGCGACTACGCGGTATACACTGGAAGCTGGAGCTTCCCCTAATGCCACTCACTACGAAGAGTGGCTTCCGATGGCGCTCGCTTGCATTCATGGACACGAGGTCGTTGTGCGTTTGTTGCTTGACCACGGAGTTAATCCAAATTCAACTGAAAGCTGGCTTCAAGACCCTTCAATTGAAGCCCAGAGCGATGATGAAGGCTGCCCGTTGATACTAGCGGCTGGTCGTGGCCATGAAAATGTTGTTCGGCTCTTGATTTCTTACGGGGTCTCTCCTGATATCCGCTGTAAAGGTACCCACGGGCTTGATATTTCACCCCTTTCAATAGCAGCAAGACAAGGTCATCTATCGATTGTCAAACCCCTCGTCTCCCTCGGCTGCGATGTTCATATCGAGGGCTGGTCGGGGTCAAGTATTCTCGCTGACGCGGCCTATGGAGGCCATTGCGGAGTTGTTCAGTTCTTACTAGAGACGAACCCTGATCTAGAGTCTCCTCAAACAGCTAGTGAAGCGCTATTGAGGGCAGCCGAAGGGGGTCACTTGGAGACAGTCGAGTTTCTCCTAGAGCATGGGGTGACTCCGATACCAACCATGGCAGGCTGGCCTCTAGGTCCATTGATCAGGGCTGCGCAAGGTGAACACTACGTAGTAGTTGATCAACTTCAGAGGTCTATGGATCTTCGGGCCTTTATCGCGCACGGTGAGCCTGATGATGATACCCATAGACAGCTGCTCCTAACTAGCGCTGCATGCGGCTGGGATGACCTAATTGAGGAGTTGCTTGAGCGAGGCTGCTCATCCGATTTTCTTCACACGCAGACTATGCTATGGAGCATTAAAGAAAAGCTCTCGGAACCGATACCTCTTTCTCTCCCAAGACACCCGTCGCCTTTAGCGTTGGCAGCCCATCGAGGTCGTCACAAGGCTGTCGAGCTGCTGCTCAATTACGAATCATTGCTAAGTGGAAGAGAGCCAACCCCGCTCCTTTTAGCAATTGACGGCTCCCATAAGGGGATTGTCAATACGATTTTAAACCGGGGTGCAAATCCGAATCATCAAACCCAAAACCAGGTGCCAGTGCTTTTTAAAGCTGTTCAAACGCCGGAAATATTTCAATTATTGCTCGATCGTGGAGCAGACCCTAGAATAAATGCAACTTATGGCGTGGATGCGGATCATCACGAATCAATTTTCGCGAGGGCGTTGAGAAGTCGAAGTCTCACCGCGGTGCATATTCTACAACGGACGGCTTCATTCATACAGCCTCCGTGCGTTGAGGGCTCTCATCCTATGTCGTTTCTTGAGGCGGCCGCTGAAGGCGGAGCATTGGCAATACAATATCTTCTTGATAGCAACTATCAAGTCGTACCAGGGAGTCATGAAGTTGGGAGGGCGCTACATATTATACTATCTCAGGCAGATACGGCCTCATTGACTCTTCTGTTCGAGAGAGGACTAGTCGGCAACTTGATGACAATCGACCGTGCAAGCCTGATGGGGTTGGTAGATTCACCAAGCGGAGACTTGGGTGCTATGGCTTCTACTCTGGACATACTCATGGCACATGGAATTAACGTCGAAGGAGAGTCCAAGTCCCCTCTCCATGATATTGTTTCTAGGAAGGCGACAAATTTATCGCAACTATTATTGGATCGAGGGGCCGACCCTCTCCGAAGTCATGGAAAATTTGGCACCGCCCCTTTGGGAGAGGCAGCGAGGCATGGGAACAGGAATTTAGTGCGAATTATGCTGAAAAGTCTGGATCAGCGGAGCATTTCACTTGAGGAATTGCAACCGAAGTTGGCTGAGGCAGAGTTGTGGGCAGAGATAGGCCAAGAAGAATGTTCGGCAGAAGACGATGTGCGACCACTTTTACGCCGTTTCTACTGGCGAAAGAAGTATCAAGACATGCCAACATCCTAGGCTGAGAAGATTGAAAACTACATATTTAGGCCTTGCCGTGTTTATTCGTTGTATTTTATCCAATACCAATCACACATAACCTCGGCACTGTGAGGATGTCCATTTTCTTTGTTGAATGTTCGGCGTCGTGGCGGCGCACCGATCCATCAATAACGCCGACGATGACAAATTCAAAATGGTCCGAATGTTTCGAGCGAGAGACTGCGATAGATCTAAGGCCTGAGAGATATTGGTGGCTCTAACCTTGTCGTTCTCTTGTCTATATACTCTGTCAGTCGGCCCAACCTTTACCCCGACGGCGCAACTGCCCTTCCCACCTTAGTATATATTAAATTCACATATTGTTTGTCTCTCTGAGCTTCCAAAGAAAAAAAAAAGTAAAAATTAAAATGGCAGCAATGCTTATGCGAGTATTCACGGCATTCGGCCCTCCGAAAGTTGAAAAGAAGAATGATGCTATCCGCTTCGGTATCCTCGGGGCGGCCCAGATTGCGTGAGCCGCATTCAATGCTTGACCTTAGAAACCACCTCGCTGACCTTGATCTTCAATAGGCCTCTTGCCTTGATCACACCCGCCCTCTCACATCCCGACGTTATTGTGCAAGCAGTCGCTGCTAGAGATTATGCTCGTGCCTCAGCATTCGCCAGAAAGCACAACATCCCCGATGTTCGCACGTCCTATGACGAAATCCTCGAAGACCCTAAGATCGATGCAGTCTTGGTTCCTTTGCCTAATAGTTTGCATTTCGAGTGGGCTGTGCGCGCCATTCGCGCTGGCAAGCACGTTCTTCTAGAGAAGCCATCGACCTCTAACGCTACCGAGGCCGAGATTCTCTTCAACCTACCTGAACTGTCACAGCCAAATGCCCCCGTACTGCTCGAGGCATTCCACAACCGATTCCATCCAGTAGTGCACAAGTTCCGGTCCTTTATCACCCCCGCCGATGTCGTCCACGTCCACACAGACTCTATGGTGCCATGGTTGATGCTCGACAAGGATAATATTGGGTTCAACTACAAACTCGCTGGCGGGAGTATAATGATGCTAGGCACATATAACTTCGGCGTTATCCGCTTGATTTTCGATGATAACCCGTGGAGTGTCTAACTTGCGAACCTGGCATCTTTGGCGACGGTATCCACGACCAGTGCGATACTAACTTTAAAGCCAAATTTCGCTTTCCGAACGGTGGTATTGCCGAAGCTTCCACCACTATGCGTGGGCCTATCCTATGGAAACCGTCCGAGGCTCGCGTCACGCACAAGGAAGTCGCCGTCGATGACAAGTCCCTCCCGGAGACACAGGAGAAGCTACGCACCCGGATCGTGACGCTGCACGGTTTTATCCACGCTGTTATCTGGCACCGTATCGATGTTAAGGATACCTTCGTCGTTCGGAACAAGGGGGATCGTATGCCGATTAAGACTTGGACAGAGTCCAAGTCATATAAGGCTTACAGTTACAAGGAGGCTGGGGGAGAGTTTGCGAATCTCCCCGGTGAGGACTGGTGGATGTCATATCGGTACCAACTTGAAGAGTTTGTCAATCGTGTTAAGGGGCGTTCCACGCAATTTTGGGTTGAGGGTAAGGATTCATGGGATCAGATGAGAATGATCGACATGGCGTATGAGAAGAGCGGGCTGGGATTGCGGCCAACAAGTGCGTTCCGGTGATCAAGGTGTTTTGAAAGAAGGCCAAATTTTCGTGTAATCTTTTGTTCTTGTTTGGCCTGCAGGGAGGGGAGCTTCGGTTTACTACGTACGTCGAGTGCTACATGACTGGTCTGACGAGGTCTGTGTTAAGATCTTGCAGAATATCGCGACGGCCATCACCGATAAGACCTCACAGCGAGTGGTCATTGACGAGAACATCATGCCTAGCAAGAACACTGGGGTCGAGGCCGCTTGGCAGGATATCACTATGATGGCTCTCGGGGGAACCGAAAGGACTCTCAAGCGATCGTAGGCGATATTGACCCAGGCTGGATTCCAGCCTCATCGAACATTTGTTGCCCCAGGGACAAACTATGCTGCCATGAAGGTTTTTTGATCTAGACTAGATGGGGCCTTGCGGCGGCTGCGGCACGAATGGACTCGGTCGGTCAATGAATGGGTGCATGCATGGCCAACATGAAGCAAAGCACGGGTGGCATAAACGGGGTCGGTCGTGGGCCTTCGTACACGTGACACTAAGACGACCACGGTGAGCGAGCGGCTCGAAACATTCCATGTCTTGTCGCGCCTCCATGTTTAAGCCGGGATGGCCAAAATGACAGACACCAAGCCATAATGGCTTGAACTAAGAGACCGGATTCCATTTAAAAACTTCCATGCCATATATAAGAGTAGAGTTGGTTGCCCAGGTGGTGGATAGAAGGTAAGTAATAAAGTTATTCAAGCACTTAGGAAGCACTTACAATCTTTGCGCGGGTCGGGTTGAAGGTGCTGCCGCGTTCTCCAAGCTCAGACTCAGAGTCTAAGCTAGCGGCGCCGGGCGTGCTCGGGCGCTGGGGGGGAGGCGCAGCGGTGGGGACAGTGGCAGGGGAAGTAGGGCCAGCCACAGCAGCAAAAGGGGAGTCGTACCAAGCTATACATAGTTAGTACGGGAAGCGCTTAACAAGCGCTTAACAAGTGAAAACTAATAATAAAAAGAAACGCACTCAACCATTGCTGCTTCCTGTTCCTTTATAGTCAACCAGCCGGTACGCTCAGCACGAACAGCAAAATTGCCATCGTTATGGCGACTGATATGCCAGCGGAGGTTTCGGGTCTCTTGGGCATTCTATATAGTTAATAATTAGTGTAATTAGTAATAAAACAAGGGGCTTCGTGGTCTACCGCTGCACATAGGCCAGCGACGCGGACTGGGAGAAATTTATGTCTCCTACTCGACCAGACAAAAGCCTCGCTCGAGCGCTGTGGTGGTATGGACCTACTAGATGGTTTCGCACAAACAGTCATCGAGGACGCCTCGTTCGAGGGTGCAACGACTGCTACGCTACGCGCCCATTTTAAGGACTGGGCGAGTACCGCTTTGCAGGAGCTAGGTCTGCCGCGGGACCATTATGCCTATTGCGGGCGGTATCGATTTTTCGTGATGGCGGATCTGGAGGTGCTGGAGTCCGTGCTGAACTCGCCTCCGCGCAGTCGGACGTCGTTCGTGAAGCTAGTGTATGCGGAGTGGGAGCCGGTGGTGTTGGATGAGGAGGAGATCGAGGCGTTAGGTGGGCCGCCGGAGGAATGGGAGCTTATCGAGGGATGTACGCTTGAGGATGTTGGGTGGATGAAGGTGCCGTATAGGGAGTTGATGTTTGGTGGGTATGAGTTCATGTGTAATTCTAATCGCTGGGATTTGGTTTATTCCTGCCCTCCGGTGGTTCAGTCCTCACTTGGTTTATGATATGGGTGGTTTGAGATACTCCAAACGCAATGCATTTCAGTATTATGCAGTTGATGACATGCCGCATCCTGCTCATAGGTCGTAGACATGGCCGATAAAGAGGCCCATTCTTGAAAATAGACAAGCGCAAGCTCACAATGCACTCATTCACTCCTATTCTCGACAGCTATAATGGACTTTTACTGGCACTATGTCTATACGAAAGGATGTAGCCGGGCGTAGTGCCTTTAAATAGGACGTTGACCTAGTGGCTGATCTTTAGGTGTATCGAGTAGTCACCTCCCCCCTATACGACTACTAGCGAGAACAGATCAATAGTTCCACGAAGTAGGTGGAGTATTTTCTTCGGGGCGAGGAGACCGGACCTATTAGAATTTGCTTAGTTGCTCTCGATACTATACCCAGATATAGCCTAACGCCTAAAGAGTATATTTGCTTAGGGAGCGACCTACTAGGGTCGTACTATATAGATAAGTTTAACAGATCTATAGAGTTATAATAAAGAACAAGCTATTAGCACTTAAATGAGCTATTTTAGACGTCATTTCTAATATTATCGTTAAGTATAATTCAAAGGCCTCTTCTCTCATATGAGTTTCCATATCTTGTCTTGCCTTCATGTTTAAGCCGGGATGGCCAAAATGACAGACACCAAGCCATAATGGCTTGAACTAAGAGACTAATTCCGTTTAAAACCTTCCATGCCATATATAACAGTAGTGGCGGAAAAAGCCGGGTTGTCATGATGGTCTTAAAAGGCTGCCCCGGGGCCGTGCTTGTCGATGACTGATGTAATGGTCAATAGCGTGGTGTTTGGTTGTCTTCTCAGTACAGCCCCGAGCGACTTTGGCAAGGCCTTTTGAATCAATTTGACCGAGAAGCCCTGCCTGTCTCTATCGGCAGTATGCCCACGCAAGAAGGCACAAGAGTCTAAGGAATGGCTGTTAGTATAGTCATTTGCACGGGCGTACCGTTTCAGATAGAACAGGGGTCTTCAATTTCTCAGAAAGCCCCTCGGAACGCCACCAATCATGCCTTTTCCGCCGTCATTCGGTATCAGGGCTGTAATCCCTGGCCTCATTGTCACACAGCGTAGGACAAACAACACGGATGGAACGACGATATAGTTTGAAAAGCTCAGATCACATCCGAATATTTTCCCTGCATTAGTGCAATCTTCGTAGATTTCTCCGGAAGATCATCCAAGATAGATTGTCGGGGAGATCGTTGCCACCCTGTGGACACCTCACGTGTCGTTCTGATTGGGTGATTGGGTGCCTGGCTGCCTTGGCTGCCTGACGGGTCCGCCTTCGCCGTCTCTTCCCCAGATCTCATCTCTTATCTCGTCTGCTTTCTTTCCATACCTTTTGCTTTTTGTATTTACATCGCCTATCTATTCATGTTTTAGGTCTAGCACGGTTAACTTACTCTATTCGTTCCCGGGCCACGTCCCTGGTGATCTTCCGCCTCGTATACCAATCAACGGAGATCCCCACTGCCTATCGCAACGCTAGCGCCCATCAGCCACCGACCACCGTCATACCTTATACCCTATCGTTCGTTGCGGTCCATTTTTAGTTTCTCCAACTACAGCACACTCTCTCTTCAGCTCAACGTCTCGCCATGTTTGGAGAGGGCCGAGAGGAGGCCGCCAGGCTATATGTTCCCCCACTGCTTGAAGATAACGAGCGTCTCAACGATCCCGAAGCTTCCGAAGACCTGCCGCCGCCCGACGTCGAGACAGGCAGCGCTCTTCCTGTCTGGTTGCGGGAATCATCCAAATCATTTCGCTGGGGATGGGTGCCGCTACCGCTCCGAAAGGTTGGCCGCGCCACGGCCAATTGGGTCAAGGGTCCTGACCCGCCGCATATGCTTCTGTTGAAGCCGCTGTTTCCGCGAGCCCAGGAGCTTCCAGTCCAATACCTCGACCGTCTCTTTCCCAAGCGCAAATTTAAGACTGTACTCTTACTGCTGCTCTATACATCTTGGTTCTTGCCTTGGTTTTTGGTTTTATTACACTCGCGTTCTTCTGGTTATATCGAAGGGTACGGTCGGCCTCAGACTCTATCATGCTTGACGAACTTCTGGTACGTACCGAAATTGAACCCTATCTAGGTATAACATGCTAATGCGATTGCTTTAGGGAGTTCGGCAATGGGTGTGGTATTAACGGAAACGACTGCCGTCCATTTTCTTCTTCGACTATTCCCTTCAGGTGTCCTGCGAATTGCCGTGATGCCAAATTACTGGAGCCTTACGTTGTGGGGAATTATACATACAACTATCAGGGCCTAGTAATTGGAGGGGCTAAGCCTGATTCCTCCGACCCGGCAATTTACCGTGCGGATAGCTTTGTCTGTCAGGCAGCAATCCATGCCGGCGCAATTTCGAACGATGGCGGCTGCGGTGTTGTCAAGCTTGAGGGCGCAGCGCACTCTTTTCCATCGGTGAAACAACACGGCATTCTCTCCGCTGGGTTCCCATCGACCTTCCCGAAGGCTTTCAGCTTTCTCCAGCTGTCCTCTCCGCAAACTAGCTGTCCGTCAGATCCGCGCTGGACGCTTCTTGGAATCACTGCTGCCGCCGTTGGTATCCTGTGGCTCTTCTGCACATCACCGCCTGTGCTGTTTTTCAGTACATTCTTCATGGTGTTCTGCCATACGGGACTTGTTGGAGACCCGCCCTCGTATCCTTTCTTGGCCGACCTTGTCTCCAGCCTTCTGTCACGGCTGCTACCAGCGTCGTTTGTCGTCTACGTACTTTACAAGTTCTGTGCAGCGCCACTTTTGCAACCAATCTCGTCGCCTATTTATCAGCTTTCAAAGTTGTTCCTTTTCCTACCCCCGCTTTTCATTGGAGCTCTGAACAACTACACATTTGCGCGGTTGATTCCCTTGCAGCGCCTAACTCCGATGGACATTCAGAAACAACCCGGGGCGAAGTTGGCATTGGCTCTTGTCATCCCAATTGTGATTTCGATTATCCTGAGCCAGGCGTGGCAAATTCGCCAGGGAGGTCTGCTCCCACGGTATTTGAAGATATACGGTACCATGGGGGTCATCATCTTGATTTTGCTTCCGCTACCTGGTCTTCGCCTTCGAATTCACCATTATATTCTCGCCATTCTCCTCATGCCGGGCACCGCCTTTCCCACTCGGCCTTCGCTCATCTACCAGGGTCTGCTGCTGGGTCTTTTCATCAATGGAGTTGCGCGGTGGGGCTTTGCCTCCATCATCGAGACTCCGGCAGCTCTAGGAGAGCAAGCGCCGCTTGGAGACGGAATCCATGGCTGGTGGGGTGCTACCTATCCCAATATCACGACCGCATCTGTGAATATCTCCCTACCAGAGGGATCGAACGACACTTATCACGGCAATGGCAACATCACATTCTCTCTGTGGGAACACGAGCGTATGTCGGATCTAGCGGTGGACGGCGTCTCAGTTCTTCTCAACGATGTAGAGCGCTGGCGCGGCTATCTCGATGAAGACAAGCGCGGAGAATTTACCTGGCACCGCCATGGCCATGATGGCCTGGAGTTACAGAGAAATCCTCGTCTAGTCAATCGTGATTTGGACACCAACATTGACCCCAAGTCGGTTCTTTTGGCTGATAGTGATCCTGACGATAAACCCGAAGACTTATTTTTCCGCTTTGCGTTTTTGAGAGGGTCCGAGGCTGGCATTTACAGCCCGACAGGAGTCTGGCTGAGCGATGGCGCGTGGTGGCCCCCTGCGCCTCCCAAGAAATAGATATGCTTTTCCTCTGCGTTGGACACTGTGGTCCTTTTTACGTTTTATATCCAATTTTGGCAAGATAGATTGTAAAGTTTCGGTTCATGTGTGCTGGACGCGCTGTGCCCATGGGGAGTAACAGAACAAGCACGGCGTTTGCTGGATCACTCCCGTTCATGACTGGTTACGTTAAATGAAGATATCACATATTATGATTGCTTACATACGTGCAAAATTCAATATATCCCGTCCACGTATATTTCTGCCTATCCTTAACAGAAAATTCATACCACGTGATCGTGCCGGAACGAGCCAAGGCAGCCAACCAAAACTCGAGCTCACAATTTGAAGCTTCCTTCGTACCTCATTTTAGCAATTTTTACGTTACACTATACGCGGTATCATGAAATCCATGGAGCCCGAGGGATCCGACCATGAGGGACGCGAGGCGCCAAGCGCGCTAGTCCGACGTGCGGTAGGTGTCGCTCCCTAAACGTGTTGCAAGCTTAGAAAAGAATACCTATGAAGAAACATACAGGTTTGACCAATCAAATACTAATTATGCATGCAGTGTGATCAATGCCGCCTCCGAAAGGTAGGCAGTTGCAGCTGCGAGTGGAACGATGTCATGACTCGGTCTCACGTTGTCACAGATCCGATGCGATAAGCGCACGCCATGTTCCAACTGTCGCAGCTCCAGCATTGCATGTCGATCTACCGGCGAAGGCCAGAAGCCATCAGAGCCCCGGCGGCGGGTTTTAATCTCAAATCAATAGTATGACCATCTTCTCCTATCATAGGACACTATTGACTCGAGCACAGTGAGAGGAAGATCGATTTGATCGAGGCACGCCTGGCAAGCATTGAAAGTACTCTTCACCAGCTTGCAAAAAACACATCTCAACTACAAGGCTTCACAGCGCCAAACCCGCGCGAGTCTCATTTCGCCCCTTCGCCTCAGAAGTCAACCCCTTCGCAGCCGTCATCCACTCCAGGGAACCCTGCAAAGCCCAGGGGCCCTTCGTATCTAGCGAATCCTACTATTGAGCAGCACGATTCCAACTCTGGATTTGAGGGCAGCTCATCTCTGACTGCCCATGGGGCCTACGCGAGCGCGTTCCTAGAATCTGCTGTGTCCAAAAGTTCGCCGCAGGTTTTGTCAAGCCCGAAGATCAACGCGGCTCTTGCGTCGCTGAAGCAGCTTGTTGGGATTCAGAGCCAGCGGCGAGGAGCAGACTTGCAGGGGGGGCAACTTCCCATCAAGAATGCGAGGTTAGGTGTGAGACGCGACATTCGTGGTCTAGAGATGCCGCCTCTACCAGTGGTTCTAGACGTGTTGAGAAAGGTTCAAGGTACAGTTGGTCAGAGAGACATGCCTCCAGCTTGCGATTCTTACTCGATTAGAAACACCACCGGCCTGCTTTGGTGGCTATGTCCCCTTCCTCAGTGTGAAATATTTCACCGAAAAATGCCGTGAAGTCTACTTCTGCATAGAAGATTATTCCGATACAGCATTTGTTGTAACCAACTTTTGCCTGTACAGCGTTTTGTACGAATATGACTGCGAGGAGAAGGACACCACTACTCGAGAAGAGCATCGACACTACATTCAGATTTGCCGCGACAATCTGGAGACAGCGCTTGCCAATTTGAATATCTTGATGCCTGCAACCTATGAATCTATCATGGCGTTAATTCTGGGAGTTAGTCCCCCTTTTCATTTTCATTTTTTTGTCATTCTTTTGGATATACCCGATCCAGAATCCTTACTTATAGACACAGGCCATGCATGCACTCGAGATTTCTAAACCATCAGTTGGCTGGACGCTGGCATCAACGGCTATGAATCTGTGCCAGACACTGGGGTATCATCGCTTAAGCTCAATGGAGCACGACACCGTACCAGTCCAACGCCAAAAGCAGCTTCTATTCTGGTCCGTCTACACAATTTTGAGCATGATGTCCCTGCGTTTAGGACGTGCCCCGTCCATCCATAACTATGATATCAGCCTGCCAGCACCCGATGAGAACATAGGTGTCCCCCAGCCATGGGCGGCCGTCTGCGTGTGGTGGACTAGATCGGCAATTATCCAGACTGAGGTTTACCGATATTTAT